TCGCTTCTCATTGGTCACTGTTTTTTGTTAATAACTCGTAAACGATGCCGCGGATTGCATTTTCGCTAAGGAAAAAGTTACTTCAAATGACCTCGGGAACCTCTTATGTCCTGTAAGTACCATAATTTTGGGACGTCCTGTATAGAATGTATAACGGATAATTTCGGAAATAATCTTCCAGACGGAAATATTCTTCTAGACTTTATTAATTGGTTCGTCCAACTATATATATATATACCTATTATTTCGTCTTGATTTTTTTTCCAAGTCAAAATCGAGAAACCAACTATGATAAAACAATTTACAATATACATATAAGATAAAGCACTGCGACTTTGCTATATTCAGTTCTACTATTATTTTACTATTATTATTAACTTTATTATTATTTATTATTATTATATAATATATTATATATATTATATATATTATATATATTATATAACTTTATTATTATTTACTATTATATTATTCTACTATTATTATTATTATATAGTAAAGAATATAACACAACATATAATTTTACACAATTTTGCAAAATTCAGGATTAGACAGAAATAGTTTACACCAGATACGATGTAGCTCGAACAGACTCGATCATGCTCTGCGACTATATAATCATCGATTTTGTATCAAATACTTTTCCACATTCTAAACAAATGGCATACACGCCAACGCGTAATTAAATAATATACATGGCAAGAAGAAACAAGTAATGCTTGCTGCAACCGACACAGGCTTGACACAAAGTGTCAACGGAGGGTGAGTTTCAGCAGGAACACTTTTTGATCTCCGTCCGGGGTGCGAAGTGTCAGATCGATAGTTCGTCTTCGAACAGTCGGCAATATGTGGTACAAGTAGGGCCCGCGGCTATAGTGATTCCCCAGAAGCATTAACGTCGTGTTGTATCTCAAGCAACGCGTGCGCGTCCCGCAAATAGCGGTCCCAGACGGCAGACATTTAGATGTATCAATGAAACGCGCCCGTTTTCTTTCCTTATCGAGTATCGTCAACAAACATTTACCTGCGAGAATTCAGCTGGTTAGGATCATAGCGGCGCGAGCCACATTCTCGAAAATGTTGACTTATGTGTTCAAATGTAATCTATACGTGCCAAAATGTTGAAAAAAAAAATAGAACAAATGAAATGAATTATAAAGTCACTATAAACTAACTTAACTCTAAACTATCTATCTATGAATTTGGATAGTAAACAATACACATGTTGAGAAAACAATGTGACACTCTTTGTTTCTCACAACAAGGAAAATATATAACTTACGCCACTATGATTCAAACTCACTCAATTACGCTAGTACCATTATTAATCATTATTCATTACGCGAACAAGAGAGAGAGAGAGAGAGAGAGAGAGAGAGAGGAGTTGAATATACAGAACGAAATCTTTTTTATATAAATTTTCGAAGTTTTCAAAGCGAAGATATTCAGCAGAAAACAATTTTACTCAGAAAAATTAAATGCAATTGTTACTGGTATCTGTTTGTGTAAATGCCTATTGAGTTTGACAGTTAATCGAGACTCCTGAGCAAACAAGATTAGTATACTTTTGACACAGAATGAGTTAACGTGGGAAAGCAAGTCGAGAATATTGAACAAAATTTCTTTGTCGCGATCTTCATTTTGGAAAACCTAAAAATTATTTAAGCGATTGAACATGTTCAAAGTAAACGTGCTCTTGTTTCATCATTATCCTACATTGTTACATTGCTATAGAATTCTTATAGAATTCTTCTTAGAAAAGTTAGCCAAGTGCTAGACTTTGTCATTAAGTTGTCATTTAATTTTTGTCATTTAATGTCATTTAATTTTCACGAATTTTTTTTTTTAATTTTCACAAGTACACTTTCTGACTCGGCGGTGCTATCAGCCGAGGAACAGCTTGTGTACCATGCTTTCGGTGGAAATAACGATCAACAGACAATGCGACACGACGAAACACAGACAACTGCGTCAATAGATTCACCTGTTTTACGCAACGCGGCATAACGGTAGCCGTACGAGCTGTCTGTCAATTCGAACGAGGAGGAACAGCCGCGTGTAGTAATCTCCATTCGCTCGAGGATGAATTGGAGGCCACGGGCGTAATAATACCGATCACGATAACGCGACAATCGATTATTTGCCGGAGCGCAACCTATACTTCGACGACACTAAGTGATCATCGGTGATCTTCTATCGACGAGAATCACCTGTTACGCTGATCGCACCGTTTACTTCTTCGTGGACAATGTGATTTCTTAGCACTCGATGATCGTATAGAAGAATGTCATAAAATTATAAAGATCCCTAGATTAATTGGAGACGTTCGCCTTTGCGAACAGATTTTCTAGCAATTTTTGTGGATGTTTTAATGGAACGCTTTGTAGTGTCAGTTTTGGAAGATTTGTTATTAACGCGTTAAAAGGTTGACTGTTCCAATCTCGTTCGAAAGTGCATAAGTTACTCCAATCATACTGCATATGCTTGATTTTCTTCGATATAGTTAATATTTTGTACAAACACAACACTTTTATGAAATATGTAATTTAATAAAGAATATCAAAGTATGTATATCCTTCTAAACCAATTAGCTGTTTTTCACGATAATATAAATTACGATACATATTCATCATAACACAAAATCTTGCCATTTCTTCATGGCGAGTGTACTCGGCTAACTAGTTCAGAAGGATATATGCCTTGATATTCTTGATTAAATTATATAATTTAACAAAACCAGAACTAGAATGTTGAAAATCGTGACACACGTTATCTTCGTTCTTCTGCAGTCAAAAAATCTTATCACTGTTCAATCTTTTCGAATGTATCTCGATTCAAATGAATGCCAAAATCTAGTTAAAAATTAGTGTCAACTCACATGTGACCGATGCACATGACACACTTACCGTGTTAAAATAGATAGTGGATTTCATGAATTTCCGACAAAAATGATTATCAATTTAATCCACAATCGGGTTATAAATGTAATTATTAAAAAATCCATGTGACCGTCTACTCATCGAGTTTGCAATATTTCAACGTAGACTTACTTGCACTTACTAATTTGGAAATATGCAATATCTACTGAAACAGTAACTGGCAGTAATTGGCAGTCCGGTTATGAGCTAAAATTTTGGAAAGATTAAAATATTACTTTCTGTTTATTTCAACAAAATCGGACAATTTTTATTTAAGAATTCATAGTCTAATTATTGAGTGGAGCGACATGTAAATTCTCATGTAAATGAAATCGTTAACTATTACAAAGTCCGAATGTCGAAGAATAATCCGCAATCGAAGGAAGATTGCAAACATCTTCTCTGCGAGCTAAATTAGATCAATGGACTGTTCGCTACTATTATAGTTCCTCAAGGGCAGGCGATACATTTAAAAATATGGCTGTAGTTTACGAGTTAAGTCGACAGATTATGAACAGTCTATTTGGAGAGTAGAATCCAATTACAAATTCATAATCAACTAATACGTTCAACATTCCGAATGTTATAGCTTGTAGCATTAATTGTCATTGATCAAGGCAAGAAGTGGGACTGACCACGCAAACGTTGACAATTATCGACTTTCTCAACAAAGTCACCGATAAGCATCTGAAAATAGACAAATGAAATCTTCGTTTCAATGTTTAACGAAAGATTTTCAGTCCATCGATAATTTTAACAAATACTTCGTTGTCCTTCTCTGTCATTCTTTGGCTATCAATTGGGTTGTCAAATACGTATTTTTCGAGCACTAAAGGAACATTTTGCTTCATTTAGTTTTCCTCGGATTTTAAAGCGGGACTTGCAGATGTTTCAGTGCTTTTTATACTTCTGATAAAATTATCCGTCGTCGATGTCCTAATTTTCTTATCGTCGATAGAGAGTAATCTTTAATCAGAATCTTTGCGTTCAGCAAGTCATTTATAAACGAACGATATGAACAATAACATTAGAGTCTTTTAACAAACGAAATACCAACATTAGCAACGTAGAGACCACGTGTGCATTAAAAATCATTTTAACTAAAATCTACAGTCGTCGAAATCCATTGGACGTTTTATTATTCAAGCAATTATTCATTACAGTTATATTTAAGAACTGAGTCTGACATGCGTTACGTCATCCATAAAAGCCATCTATCAAATTAGCATAATAAAGATTGCAACTTTTAGGCACTGTATTTCTTTATTCTGTCTTTTTCTATTCTAATGAGTTCTATTTTCGTTATCAGTTGTTTTACTTGTCTGTTCGACAGTTGTTACAGTTGTTAAAAATACGTGCATTTTATACTTAATGATCCAATAGACTGAGAATCACATGCATTTATGACGAAAATTAATAGATCAAATGCGAACCATTAACAGCATTTAAAAAATTTAAATTCACGGACACGAATGCAGTAAAATTCATTTTCATTGTAATGCAAGATGACGTGAATGTTATAATATTCAAATTTATAAACTACATTATATCATGCATTCAATTCTATGTAGCATTTATTTTTTGAAATTATTATGCAATTTAATTTGATTTGCATCGACGTGGATGCTATGGCGTTCATTATACATAACTATTACAATGTGACATCCTAACCACTCGAATAATAATAATAAAATAATAAAAAATTTAATAAATAAGTAAAAAATAAAAAAAATTTAATAATAAACATAATTTAATAAATAATAAAAATTTGGATATCACGATTAGTTTAAGAATAAATCACCCGTCTATTTTTGCAGTTCATTACAATTTTCAAAGTATACAGGCCCTGTCTCTTGCAATTAAAGCAGACAATTTTTATTTTGCACAAAAATCCGCAATCTAGTCATCACTTTCTATTTGTCCATTGCAACGCGAAGGTTTCGTCCCGTTGAAATATTGAGAATAGAATAAAATAAATATATATTCGAACATGGTTCGCTGATTTTGACGAAGGCTTGATGAACGTTCAGAAAAGAGAAATAAAAAAGATGGGAAACCGAATAAAAAGCAATTTGTACTCACAGCCACTAACAAAGTCAGCAACAAGATTAAAGCTGTCTTCCGTATACTCCGCCACGTCCTCTCCATCATGCGTGTATCCTCTCTGCAATAAAAAATGGAGCTCGCTATCAATCTGACCACACGCGAACACTTGTATCGGTGCATCATCGATCATGAATCAGCCGAATGCAATCGTCCGGCCTCGTCGGGAGAGAAAAAGTCGGTCCATCGACAAACCCGCAAAAAAAGTATGGCGGAGATTCCGGAGATCGTTGTATCGCCATCGCATGCACAGTCCATCCGTGAAACAAACGGACAAACCAACATCGGCCTGCGCGATCTCGGAAGTCAAACTTCTTAATTAAAAACTCGTCCGCAGAGTCGTGCGACGCGACTCGCCGCGCCGCGCCGAAAGAAGAAGTTCCGCTGTTCGTCTCTAACGCTGCCCGAGGAATTCAATCTCGCGAGATCCAAAGTCCGTGCACGCGAGGAAAGACAGAGAAAGAAAAGAGCTTCGTTTCCGCTGAAATTGGCTGGGAAATAAAGTTTAACCGTGAGGCGGGCAGGGCGAGAGAGGGAGGCGAAGAAGGGGTTTGGACGAGAGGCGGAGGAAAAAAATAGAATAAAAATTAAATTTCCCGTACGCCGCAGAGATAAAGGAAAGGAGACCGAAAGTGAAATACTGGGTGAATTCCGCAGACCCGGAGCCGAACATCAAAGAGCAAGATATTAGATCCGCGCGATCAACAAGTACGTAAAACGTCGAAGATCGGCGACGAATTGGGATCAGCGTCGTAGATGGCGGATCTATGCGGGGTTATAGAGAGGTGTGCGAGATTTATTTGTGTACTTGATTGATTCGGGTACTAGACTGATTAGGATACCAGATTTATAGTCGCGTACTAGATTCATTCGAATTCTAAATTGATTATGATACTGAAATTGATACTAGATTGATTTGCGTACTTGATTGATTCGAGTACTAGATTAATTCGAATACTAGATTGATTCGAGTAACAGCTTTATTTAAGTACTTGATTAATTCGAGTACTAAATTGAGTCGAGTACTAAATTTATTCGTGTACTAGATTGATTCGAGTTCTAAATTGATTAGGATACTAGATTTTTCTAGATTGATTTGCATACTTGATTGATTTGAATACTAGATTGATTCGAGTAACAGCTTTATTTAAGTACTTGATTAATTCGAGTACTAAATTGAGTCGAGTACTAAATTTATTCGTGTACTAGATTGATTCGAGTTCTAAATTGATTAGGATACTAGATTTTTCTAGATTGATTTGCATACTTGATTGATTTGAATACTAGATTGATTCGAGTAACAGCTTTATTTAAGTACTTGATTAATTCGAGTACTAAATTGAGTCGAGTACTAAATTTATTCGTGTACTAGATTGATTCGAGTTCTAAATTGATTAGGATACTAGATTTTTCTAGATTGATTTGCATACTTGATTGATTTGAATACTAGATTGATTCGAGTAACAGCTTTATTTAAGTACTTGATTAATTCGAGTACTAAATTGAGTCGAGTACTAAATTTATTCGCATACTAGATTGATTCGAATTCTAAATTGATTAGGATACTAGATTTTTCTAGATTGATTTGGATACTTGATTGATTCGAATACTAGATTAATTCGAATACAAGGTTGATTCGAGTACTAAATTGATTCAAGAATTAGATTGATTCAAATACTAGGTTGATTCCAGTTCTAGACTGATTCGAGTATTACATGGATTCGAGTACTAGATTGATTCGAGTAACAGCTTTACTCGAGTACTAAATTTATTCGAGTACTAGTTTTTTTCACTGATTCAGATACTAAACAGACTCGAATACTAGACTGATTCAAATAACAGATTTATCCCTGCACTAGATTTATTCGTGTACTAGATTTATTCAAGTACTTGAATTTCGGGTCGAATAACGATCGATCTTCCGAGCCGATTCGAGTGATCGAATTTCTCGAGTTAAATCGTCAAACTGTTCGAGAACATGCGAGTTACACGAAATATCCGAACGGCTCGAATACTTAACCATTATTTAATTAAGTATATCAATTAAATTAGAATACTTGCTAGCCCAGCGTAAAATACAAATTCGTGCACCTCGAGCAACTCGAATACTTTCGAGTCACTCGAGAATTATCGAGATCTATTCGAACATACTCGAGTAATTGAAATAAGCAATTCTGTCAACTCAAACGTATGAGAATCACTTGAATATTACAGATCTGTTCGATGAACACTTTCGAGTAATTCGTCAAATATAATTCGGTCAACGCGAACATTTTCGGGTCGTTTGAAAATTACTGATCGATTCGAACCAATTCGGATAATTAAAAAAAAATTTCGTCCTCTCAAGCCACTTGGATTTTTCAAGTAACTCACACATTTTCGAACTGATCGTCGATTTCGAGTAACCTGAAAAATTCGGACGCTCGACTCGGCTCGTGAAAGCCGAGTCCTCGCACAGCTCTGCAGGGGTACCGGAAGTCGGCGAGCGAGAAAATAGATCGATCGATGCACCTTTGTCGAATCCTTCGTCGAGACACTGGTGGTCACCTCCTCCGGTTAAGAGGTTCTTCCCGTTTGCTCCGTTCCGTTCGAACCGTTTTTTTTTGTCACCCCCGTTCGTGCACGCCGTCGGTCTCACAAATTAACCCCGTGATCCACACGTGTCAGTTGTTCCTCATCGGGCCCGCGAGCGTGACCGTGCCTTCCCTTGTCCCGTGGTGTAAAAAAACGAAAAAAAAAACGAGGAACTATGCCTATTTGCCGCGACTCGCTACTACGGGCCCAGAGGTGGCTACCTTGGCCAACGGGGACTGACTGAAGGTGCAAACCACGCTCGTCTCGGCCACGAGCCACGTCCCAGTGACCTACTGACAATCTCGATCGTTCGTGCCGCACGCTCACCCCTCCCCGGCTTCTTCCGCCTTCAACGCTCGGTCCCAAACAGGCCCACCGTGCTCGCGAGCCATCCCCTTCCCTTTGTGCCGACCGCTCTCTGCCACCGTTTTCATTCCTTCTTTTTCCGATCCTGCGCCTTTCTCGTCTCTCTCTTTTTCTCACTCTCTCTCTCTCTCTCTCTCTCTCTTTCTCTCTTTCTCTCCCTTCCTCTTTCTCCGTTTCTCTGTCCACCGTTCCGGAGAACGATGCTCCCCAGGCACAGGTGAAAGACGCTCGGAACGAGGCGCGAGAGTCATTAAATAGGGAACGGGGAGGAGAGGGCCGCGTTTATTTTGGTGCTCGTTGTTCTTGCAGAGACGACAAGGGGGTCCCAGACTTTCGGAGTCGACTATTTATTTATTTATTTATTGATTTATAAACGGGTTGAACCCTTCGATATAATGAAATACAGATGAAAGAATCGCATTACATTGCTTCTAAAAGTAAGAAGGGAAGCGAAGAAGACATTTAAAGAAACGCCAAATCTGTTTACATTAAGAAATATTCTGTTGAGACTGTGTTTCATAAATATTTTGTTGAGACCGTTTCAGAAGCGACAGAAGAAATCACGACACAATTACTAGAATCTGAATGCATGTAAACAATATCCTTTTCATTTAAAAATTCCGTTATTAGAACCTTAACGTTAGGGGTTGGAAACAGTTATAAGTAATTATATATAACTGGAAACAGTTATAATTAATTATATATAACCGGAAACAGTTATAATTAATTATATATAACTGGAAACAGTTATAATTAATTATATATAACTNATAATTTTTTATATATAACTAGAAACAGTTATAATTAATTATATATAACTGGAAACTGTTATAATTAATTATATATAACTGGAAACTGTTTTAATTAATTGTACATATAACTGGAAACTGTTATAATTAATTATATATNAAATATATTGATTCTGCTCTACTCGGTTCAGTAACGTTATTTTTCAGTTTGTTTCTATTACAATTCGGTTCTACACATAATATGGAATAGAGATTCACTGTAATAAAAATTAATATATTTATCGATCTCTAACTTTCAGTGTATTATATAACTTACTTAAAACGTTTTATACGTATAATCGTTAATTATTAATCAAATTACTTTAATAAATTATTATACGTTAGTTATAATAATAATTATAATATAATAATAATTATTATTAATTATTATTAATATATAAATATATAATTAATATAATAATTAATTTAAATATATTAATTATTATTAATTATAATATAGTAATAATTATAATTATAATAATTATAATAATAATTATAATCGGTGCCAGACCTCGCTGCGAAATTTCAGTGAGCACATTGACGCGTCGTTGTGACATGTAAGTGAGCTCTATGGTTACTCACTCATACTATTTATGTAGTTTGGAGAGATGCATCTATTTTGCGTGTGCTACGAAAGCAGCGTGAGAATTCAATTGGCGGTGTTGTATATACTTCATGCAAATGGGGTAAACAATCTCGTACCTTGCGTTAATTGCAATCAGTTTTAATTGTAAGCGTTTTCACCGAGTTGGAATCCAGCTCTGCATCGTCACATGAATATATTATAAAGGAATTATGTGTAATACTGTGCTCTTAAACATGATCTTTAACTACCAGAAACTATTTAATCTTGAATTATCTTTACTGTCGTTAATCAACTATTATTATCAGTATTATTGTTACGAAACAAATACGTCTTTATTGTTATTAAACGAACTTGACACTTTTCTTGACTAAATAAAATGTTTTTAAAAACATATCGAGAATATATCATTCTACATGAGATGTTCATTTCCCAAAGGAGTATTGTATGTGAATTGAAATCGTAACATGTGCCGTATTTTTGAGCGATGATGTACGTGACCTGCTTCCCCTTACAGTTTAGTAGATTCGAAATCGTTTATTTTACACCGGTATATTATTCCTGTATAAAATCTTCAATGTCCATAGATCTGCTCGCATTGTGGTAGAGTTTAACCGTATTCCAAAGCATTTCTTAAAAATAATTTTTAAATAATTTTAAAACAATTTCAGGAGTCTGTAGATTTTGTGTCATCGTCAATAAATTTGTGCAAGAATGATTTTAAGCGCTAGTTTTAGGGTAACTGATCTAGTTTCTCTCACACTTCTGCTTGTTAATTCTTCTTTCCTTTCTTAAAATGTAAACATTATTTTAAGTCATTTCATTATCTTAAGTCATTAATTAATTTTTCCTTTCTCTTCTACAATGCGAACCAAAATATTATATTTAAGCATGTTATGAATTTGTTCCATTAATTAATCGTTCTTTTCTTTTCTGAGATGTTAACGACGATATTATCGCGTGTCGTTATTCGAATTACTTCATCAATTATTCTTTTCCCTTCCGAAATCTATAAACAAAAATGTTATAATTACGCGTTCCATTATTTTCATTCAATTCATTATCCTATTCTTTTCTAAAATGTAAACCAAAAGCATTGTATGTACGTGTATCGTTATTTATATTCCATATTCTAATCAATCCGCGATTAATTCTATAAACAATTATATCACGAAAATTTGTCCGAGCATATCGATCATGTTATTAATAATCATTCTCCGAATAAATATTCTTAAAGTTATCGATCTAAAATCCATTCCATCATCAAACCACAAAACTATAACCCACAAAAAAGAAAAGAACGCGAGCCACGCACACATTACCTAACGACAACATTTTCTTTATCAACGTCTCCGTGTCTATCAATTATAGCACCGTGTCTCGTGGAACCAAAGGGCCGCAGAGTAATTTCCATCGTCGCGTCGCGCTCCATTTTCACGCGGCTCACGTTCCAGGAGCCTGCATTATTTACAAAGTTGCATTATTTACTGGCATTTGAGAACTGCTCGCGGCGGGTTTATCGGGAAACTGTAACGTTATGCCGTGCGCGCGCTCGCGAACACGATTCCGTCGGGGAAACTCTAATTCACGGGAAGACACGTAGCAAAACAAAGAACAGCGGAGACTGGCCCGCGTACGTAACAATATCGTAGCGTCAGCTGGCCGTCGGTCTGAAACGCGGGGGCGGCGGAACCGCTGGAAAAATATTTCACAGGTGAAACAGAACCGTGCGCCGTGTATTCGTGACTCGAATAATGGCGGAACGCTAAACGGCGGAACGGCGGTATAATCCGCGAATGACGAATCGAGTCCGACCCGTTCCAGGAGAGGTTCGATTTCAATAAATCGCTAGAGGAGGAGAAACCCAAAACGAGGGCGTGTGCTACTCTCCTACAAGTCGGAGCGTGGACGTCCAGCGATTTTTCACCGCGTCCCTGCCCCATACCGGACCGCGAGCAAAGCGAAAATCACGAGACCCAATCCGTTTTCCCGGGCCCGATACACACGGCCGATCCCCGATCCGAGGTTATCACTCGGAATGCGTGCGATGCAAGTACTTTCTACGGTTCACGCGTGTACACCGCGCGAGATTCTTATCTGTGCTATGCATTTTTCAACAAAATGGAAACTTTAAAGCTCCGCGTTTAGATCATTTTCTTCCTCGTTGAACCGAATGTAGGCTGGAATTCTTGTACGAACGATCGTATTGTCGGATTTGTATCTGTATATGCGCGATGTTTCCAAGTGGAATTAAGTTTAATGAAGTCGCTGGTTGCCTTTACGTACACTTTAACACGTTCCGTGCCGAGCTTTTTTTACTCGATTCTTCACACTTTGATATTTTACTAAAACTTGATGTATTACGTGCAATTATTAATTCTCGTACGCATAACAACGTAACAAAAACTTATCAACGCCCATTCTTGCGGTGGAAATTGATTCTTCGGTTCTAAATTTCTTGTAAACAATTTGTTCAGTTCACTAAGTAAACATGCAAGCGTGTACCATCGATGGTACACGTGGCAGGGAACGTGTTAATAATATTACAGCTATGGTCTTAGCGATGCGTTATCTGCGTTCTTAGAGTTTTACGAGTTCTAACAGTTCTGGTGGTTCTAACGATTCTGTTAGTTCTAACGATTCAGTGTAACGTTCTAGGTGCCTTTTCGCTTGTCGCCTCGGTTTTTTTGTTGATTGGTGTATGGTGGGTTTTGGTGGAGGAAATGAAGCGTTTTTGATTGGAGATGGGTGTGTCGGAAGGAACTTGAGGAGTGGGAAACCGCCCGAAAGCCCGGCTTGTCTTCCGTTTTGGGAAATATGGAATCCATGAGTCGCGCTGTCCGTTCGTCGGGTCGAAGGGCACCTTCGCTTGGGTGCATTTTCTAGTGTCGCAGGTATATCGCTTAATTGCTCGAGGGATGGCCAGGGACGCTTGACCTTCGGTGTTGCCGTCGCAACGGTATCTCTGTCCGCTAACTTCATTGCTAATAACGTGCGAAACGTTCATTAGAATTCTTTGCAATCGATCGATTTGTTCGGCTGGAGCTGCCACAAAATGCGAATGATTTTGATTCGAACGTCAAGATCGTTCTTTTTCGACGAATACAATTTTCGAATCGTATTGCAGAATTTAACCCTTTTAGTGCCGGAGGCCGATGTATCGGCCCTCGCTGCACCGGCGAAAAGTGCCAGAGCCAATACATCGGCCCGCACTTTGTAGTGTTGTAAATAGTTTAATTTCATTACGAGAGAAAAATTATCGTCGCTGTTTCATTCTCTGTTTTGTCCTTAATACACTGCTTTTCGAATTATGTAAATGTTGCTTTTCGTTTGGTTTTTATGAGAGACTTTTTCAAAATCCTGGTAGAATCGTAAAATTCGGCCGGTTATCTTCGCATAAGCGCCTCTTTTTCGCCCGGCAGTAAAAGGGTTAAATACGTAAACGTTTTTTGATGCAAAATCGTGAAAGATCGAAATATTAGAGTTCGGCATATTGATGTGTAGTTTCTTTTCTTGTTTACTCAAGAAC